TTGTTTTTAAAGAATAACATAGTTTATGCCTGTAATGATGAAAAGATTGGCAGATATAACAGTAAAAATGATTATTTGAACATTAGTGGACGTTTCAAATCAAAATTATTTCCTAAAGTGTACCAGAGATAACTCATTACTGAAAATGTAATGAAAGATACATTTTGAAAGGATGAAAATGCATGGTTAAAACTGTAATGCCCAAGTTATTGAGTGCCTTTTTGTCAAGTTAGTAACAGCCCTAGAGAAAAGAAAGATACTTTTGTCATTAAAAAACATTGATTCATTCATTTATACTTATCTAATAAATATTCATTGCATGCCTGCTACATGCAAAGCATTGACAAAGCTGACACTGTCTGACCTCATGAAGTTTATAGACTCTTAAAGGAGACAGTTATTAAACAAGTGAACATGACTATGATTAATGTCACAAAAGACACTGTACATTGTGTCAATATAGTGAGGAAACTAACCTACACTATGAAGTCACGGAAAGGCTTCCTGAGGAGACGGTTAAGCTGAATGAATACTGTAAGATCTGTAGGAAAACCTTGGTGAAAGTGGGAAAAGAATTTCCTCATCTATAGGATCGTTATGGGCAAGGAAATAAAATCCTCAGTTTTTTATGATTCCATGTGAAGTTTTTCCACAGCTAAGATTTCTGATCCAGATTTAGAATATAATATGATCTTGAAGTGCAAGGAAGAAATAAAAAAATTCCATTTTATTAGCATGTTAAGTATGTTCAAAGGAGCTCTGTATTGATTGCAGTTTACAAAATAATGGTATCTTATTTTAAGAAATTGAAAATGGTAGGAGCAACAACAACCAAATATCTAAAACTAAAACTAGCCAGCATGCAGAGTGGTTAGGAACAGAGATACTTGGGTTTAATAAGCTAAAGCAAATTATAAAATGGTGAAAAAAAGTAAATAGTGATTGAAATAGCAATCTAAGGTATTATTTCCTATATAGTATTATGCTAATAAATATATTTTACGTGTCTCTTATTCTTAGATTTCAGACTGAACTAAATTATGATGTTCTGGAAGTTCATGATGGGCCAAATCTTCTATCCCCCTTGCTTGGATCTTACAATGGCACACAAGTGCCCCAGTTTCTATTTAGTAGTAGTAATTTTATATACCTTCTATTTACAACAGACAACAGCCGTTCTAATAATGGCTTCAAGATTCATTATGAAAGTAAGTATTGCCAACATGTTTTTTATTTTCCTATTCTGTTTCCCTA